TTCATCATTCGAAAGAAACTCGTAAGCTGTCCGCTTGCGACGTTTACATCCCTGACAAGTAATGTGCGTCTCTAAGCACACACGTACACGCGGTTTTTTCTCTTACACTACGCGTACGATGATGATGATATCTTTTAATAACAATCCCCACGCTTTTTTTTTTTTTTTCATTTCCGTGAATATCTTTTTCCGCCTTTTCTATAAAAAAAAAAAAAAAAATAAGATAATATTATTTCTACGAAAAATATATCGAGAGATTATTTGTAATCGCGATCGAACGAAATTCCGTAGAAGTTTAATTAATCTTTTAATTAATTTTATGAAATTAAATAATTTCATAGTAATCGAGAGAGAGAGAGAGAGAGAGGGTCGTCGGTAACTTTTTTCTGCATAATTCGCGCGTTCACCTCCCACCTCCCCACCCCGTGCATTAAAATAATTATTTATTTTTTTTTATTTGTTTTGTTTTGTTTTGTTTTTTTTTTTTAAAATCTTTGATACGAATCGTAGTATTGTTCCTATCGCAGATCGTGATCACGAGGTGTGGACGAAAATCGATATTAAAATACGAGAATCGAATAGTTAACTCGATACGATACTTCACGCTCGGAAAAATAGATGCCGAATGCACGCAAAGGTAGTAGATATCCAGATTATTATTATTATTCTAGATTCTTGTTGAAAGCGGATTCGCGTTTTGATCCGCGGTATCGCGTAATTCACTATACATACATACATACATGCATACATACATAGATAAACACATAACCACGTTATATACATAATGCAACACGGGGTAGTAAGTAAAGTAAAGTAAAGTAAAGTAAAATAAATAAATAAATAAAATGCATACGCATAAATAAATACATTTAATACAATTATAGTCAACGAGTATAGACTTTTTTAATTTTGTTTTTATATTTCCATATCGTCATCATAATCTCTCTTTTCTATAATATTTCTAATAAATTTTTATTTTCCTATATTAAACGAGAACACTTTTAGATTAGATTAGATAAGATTTAGTCTATGATTTCCTTCATTGTGCATGGAAAACTCACAGTGTAATGTCTCCGAGAGTCTGACATTCTTATTAAAGTGAATCACTTCCGTTTACACCGACGACGCTCGTTTATCTCGTCGTTTCGCGTTTTTTTTTATTTTTTACTTTAAAAGACGACTCAACGAGAAAAAGAAAGAGAGAGAGAGAGAGATAGAGATAGATGGAAAGAAAGAAAGATAGAAAGATAGATATAAAATAAGAGATATAATATACGAGCGAGAAATGTCTCGTTACTTCCTACGCCGTAACCATAATTGGTCATTGTCTTGCGATCGACAAGGATGAGACAAGAAACGCGTCTTTCAGGAAAATCTTTTATCTTATGATGAATTAAATGAGGAGAGAAAAAAAAAAGAATAAGAATAAAAATAAAAATAAAAATAAGAATAAAAGGGTGGAGGAGGAGGAGAATAAGAATAAGAATAAAAATAAGAAGAAGAAGAAGAAGAAGAAAAAAGGCGGGACTTTCGAACGTGCCGAGAGGATCGTGAAATTCCTCTTTTCTCTCTTTCTTTCTTTCTTTCTTTCTTTTTTTTTCTCTTTCTCTCTCTCTCTCTTTCTATCAACGACGGCGCGAAAGAGGCGGAGGACGCGCATGGAATCCAAACGACCTTGCGCCCGTTACACGAAAAGAAAGCAAAAGGAAAGGGCACGAGGCTGTACTCTCCTCCTCCTCCTCCTCCTACTCCTCCTTCTTCTTCTTCTTCTTCTCGATACATCGACCCCCTCGTAACCTCTTTACAACTATACGAATATCCGTTTAAACGTAATCACGTGCGATAGATAGACCCAAGCTTACTTATATATATATGTGTATATATAAATATATTCTTATCCTCGTGTGGATTTCTCATTATATATACATTAGGAGTTAGTTTTCACATAAGTTAAGTATATAAGCTAAACATATGTCGTTTTTTTTTTTTACGAGTTCTCAATAAACGAAAGCAACGAAGCGCGAATTGTTTTAATTGAAATTTATTTTTTAAAACTACAAAAATCTTCGATATTTTATATTGATATTAGGATGATTAAATATGTAATATTAATTGCACGGTGATATTTGAAACTTTGATACTCTAATGGGAGATCACTTCTCTCTCTTTCTCTCTGTATCTGTCTCTGTCTCTGTTTTCGTTTCTCTATCTCTCTCTATTTCATTGCGGCTCATACATAAGTTGTAAAAGATGCATAGAGATAACCGGCAGCGCGAACTTTCTATTAATACCGTGTTAGTTGTACAGTGTAACTATCGAAGCAACAAGGTCGTCACGGTTTAATTGAGTGAACGCGCTTGCATCTCGCATCTCGTGGCATGAACTTGAGATATATGCGATTGATCGGTATCGTTCTCCTAGATAGCAATTCGATCTCTCAACTTCTCTATTTATATATATATATATGTGTAATATTTGTGTAATATTCGTATACACATACATTACCTATATATACCTATGCATAAATAGAAAAGTGAAAGAAAGAGAAACTATACATTTATCTTACTCAAACATTTCAAAGAATTCGACAGTTAAGATTTCGTAATATGTATGTAGTCTGGTGTGCATTTATTCTATGAATTTAAATGAAATCTCTTTAATTGTTCTGTTTACGTGTCTTTTTTTTTAGGTGTCGCATCTTGTTGAACGAATGCAACAACAACGGGGGACCACTACGTCGTTTCACATCCATCCTCCTCCTCCTCCTCCTCCTCCTCCTCTTCTTCCTCTTCTTCTGTATATAGCATATAATAAAGTTTTTCTTCATCTACATAGCTTCAAGCAGCAACAGCAACAGCAGCAGCAGCAGCTATGCCGTCCTTCGTGGAGGAGAACGCTGGGACTTGCTTTACCTCTTCCTCCTTCTCCTCCACCTCCACCTCCTCCTCCTCCTCTGCGCTTGGATCAGCCCCACTCCGAATGTAAAAGCACCACTAAGATCGGCTGGAACTACTTGTCGTTTGCGGTGGAACCGAATGGAACGAAACGGAACAGAAAATAACAGAATAGAATAGATCAGAATAGAACATAACATAACATAACATAACATAACATAAAAGAATAGAAAAGAACGGAACGATACGGTACAGTACGGTATGGAACGGAACAGGAACGGAACTTTAAACGCAGCTGCTCACGTAGCTGACACGGGGAATCGTTTGACTTACTATTGCTCTTTGCCCCCGGTTTCTCGCTTTTTGTTGTTGTTCTTCTTCTTCTTTTCTTCTTTTCATAATTTTCTAGTTCCATTTCTCAATCACGAAGAAATTTGTATGGGAATAGGGAAGAGAGAGATTGAATTGGCCCTTCGTTTTTTTTACTTCGTTGTTATAGGGTGAGTTAGAATTTGTGTCGCGCGGATAATCGCCATTTTGGTGTACGATAGTTTTTCGTTTGATTTTTCAAATAAATACGTCTCGTTTAAAATATCGAAACAATCTGCGTGTATAAGCTTCAAGATTTATTATTATAAATCATCGGATTATCRTCCAATCATTTCTTTAATACATATATRTGTATATATATAATCGCCATTTTGGTGTGCRATAGTTTTTCGTTTGATTTTTCAAATAAATACGTCTCGTTTAAAATATCGAAACAATCTGCGTGTATAAGCTTCAAGATTTATTATTATAAATCATCGGATTATCATCCAATCATTTCTTTAATACATATATGTGTATATATATAATCGCCATTTTGGTGTGCAATAGTTTTTCGTTTGATTTTTCAAATAAATACGTCCCGTTGAAAATATCGGAACAATCTGCGTGTATAAGCTTCAAGATTTATTATTATAAATCATCTGATTATCATCCAATCATTTCTTTAATATATATATATTATTAATAACAATAATATAATTTATTCATGTTTAATTAAATATGACTTTATGTCGTATTAATTCATTTTGAATCCTCCCCCAATACACAGAATCAAGTTTAACAATTAGCAAAGAGAGCAGTAGATTCCTATACCGGATTACACTTGCTTGCTTGCTTGCTTGCTTGTTTGGTTGCCCCTACTGTTAACCACCCACGATCGCTTAAAACAAAACGCTAACGAGCATCACAACTCGGAAACGGAGAGCTGGTGAGATGAAGCAAAACGGAATGGGGAGAAGCACCTGTTGCTTGCGCCTTCGTTTCTAGGAAAAAGACTCTTTCGGTTTGCTCTTCCTCTTCTTCTTCTTCTTCATCTTCGTCTTCTTCGTCCTGTTCTTCTTCTTGTCTTCCCTTTGTGCCGCAAGCTTGGTAAAAGAGACGCGGAGGAACGCGTCTTCGGTAGCAAGCGTACTCGCTCGTTCCTCCTCTCAACCACGAGTTATCCGGTAAACTTGCGTTGGAGGGGTGCAGGAGGGCAAAGGGGTCGAAGCCTTCCGCCTCTCCCTTCTACTTCTCGGCCTTCCTCGATCCCTCCCAGGCTCTCTCTCTCTCCCTTTTTTATTCTTTCTCTATCACTCTCTTTCTCAACATGTTTCAGTCATTCCTTCTCTGTTTCTCTCATTAATTTTCTGTTTCTCTCTCTCTCTTTCTCTCCCTGTTCCTCATTGGTTCGTTCTCTTTCCAACTTATCCCTTTTACTCATTTTCTTCTTCTTCTTCTACCCTCTCTCTCGCAAAATGTTTCAGTCATTCCTTCTCCGTTTCTTTCATTAATTTTCTGTTTCTCTCTCTCTCTCATCGTCTCTCATTGGTTCGGTCTCTTTTCAACTAATCCCTCTTGCTCATTTTCTTCTTCTCTTTCTCTCTCTTGCAAAATGTTTCAGTCATTCCTACTCTTTCTCTTCGTCTCTCATTGGTTCGATCTCTTTCCAACTTATCCCTCTCGTTCACATTTTCTTCTTCTTCTTCTCTCCTATCCTCTCTGTATATAATATATATGTGAATATACGTGTATATGTATGTGTTATTCCCACTCGACCACTTTGCCATTCCACTTCCCGAGAGTCCGGTGCGCGCACGCGCGACTCTTCCCAGACGCACGCTTCGAAAGTACGGTGTTACGCGGCGAAGAGGACCGATGTCAGTTTCGTGCCTCCACGAGTCCGAAGTGGAGAATAAACGAGCAACCAAGAAAAGAGAGAGAGAGAAACAAGAGGAAGAAGAAGTAGTAGAAGTAGTAGAAGTAGTAAAAGAAGAAGAAGAAGAAGAAGAGGAACGCGTTCACCGAAATGTCGTCTCATCCTCGCGAGTACTCATTTATTACCCACGTTATTCTATCACTTGTCGTCGAAAATCATCTTAGTCGTTGTTACTCGTCGATACTTCAAAGCCGATAAAATAAATCATTTTCATCCGAAGAGAGAAGACAATTTTTTAAGTAAAAACTCGCCCGCGAGATTTATCGATCATCGAAGAAACGTTTCTCTTTCTCTCTTTCTTCCTCTTACTCTTTTTCTTTCTTTTCCTTTTTTTTACTATTCTATAGAGTACTCTATTCGTTGCTTATGCATTTATTTATCTTTTGAAAGATATCATTGGTTCAGATCTATACGCACTGGTGGATCTTTGCGAAATTGTGCCTCCTGTTTAACGCGGGTGTTTTGTATTCTTTATTCAATTCACTGTATTTTGATTTTATCCATCCTTCCCCCTTCTTACTCTTCTTCTTCTTCTTTTATTCTTTATTTTTCTTCTCGTCAAAGAAGAAAATGACGGAAGTGCGTAATAAAAAGGAAATGTATGTAAATGTTAATCGCGGTGTTTCGTACTCGCGAGTTATTTATCGTGTATTTCTACGGGTGGACAAGTTTTAGGATCACTCGGTGAATTATTCTAACAATAAGTGATAAGGAAACGAAACGATTTCTTCGCCCCGCCCCCCCCACCACCCCGAAACGAGGTATTTATTTATCATTTATAATTCTTTCTGTCTAAATCTTTTTCTCTCTCTTTCTCTCACTTTTTTTCTCACTGTTTTTATGTTTAATCAATCGTTCTTTCGAAAGATCACAATCCAATGCGTCTATAACACGTTTGTTGTTGTTTCCTTTTTTGTTGTTTTTTTTTTATTTCCTTCCCCCCACCCCTCCTTTTTATTTCTTTCTTTTCTTCGATCGAGAGCGCATTGTCCGATAAAGAAATAAATCATTTGTTGGTATGCGGAGAGAACTGACAATCAGAATCACCGATGACGTTCGGCGAATGGCACTTTCGCACCTAACTGTAAATTATATAGATATCTATATGTGCATTTTATTTACATATACATATATATATATATATATATATTCAACAATATATGATATATAAATATTGTTAAGAGTTATGTCTATTATATGAGCAGATTTTATTATCGTTGGGAAAAAAGAAAAAGAAAAAAAAAATTGACATTCATGATACTTCACCGACTATAAAACGCAACGCCTAGAAAATATTAGCATTTTAATCGACTCGTTCAGATCATTTTCATCGAACTTTACACCTCGTTTATTGTTTACCACGAAGTAAATTTAAAAAGACTATGGATTATTCTTCTATTTCGACGCTTGTAATATATATATATATATATATATTATAAAAAAAAATTATCTGAATATTAAATAACAAGAAATGAATATTTGCACTTTCAACGAGAGGTATTCCCTCGTTTGGTTCATCGACCCAACGATATTCGATTTAAATCGCGTGTTACATGCGATCCCGCGCATTTTATTCGATCGTATTTGACGTACGAGAGAGACCCTTTCGGTTTGTTGATCGATTCATCGATCGATCGATCGATCCTCGGTCAATAATATCGATTCCAATTAATAAACTTGCGTATATTAAGTGAAGGGAATTGTTATGTATATATTCGATAAAAAACAAAAAAAAAAAAAGAAAATTATATTAACACCGGTATGTTAAATTATGGTTACATTTATTTAATATAATTATTACATTTGATTATATTAATTTATGTTAATCAGAAAACAAACAGAAAAAGTTATATTTACAACTGTGTATAGAATATTATCGATTTAATTCACTCTTCATCATAGAATAATTTTATAAACGATTACATATTCATTTACATATGTTTGTCAATGTAAATACGTGACAAATAAAACGAATCAATCGGTGTAACACCTGTTAATTACTGTTATTATTTAAACGATACGGACAAAAAAAAAATACAATCGGTTAGATCAATGTGATAATTAAATTTCGCGTTTAATTAACTCGAAATAGTTTAACGAATTTCTTCTTCGAAAGAAAGAAAGAAAGAAAGAAAAAATTGGTTATACGATAACCGGACCGATCTTCTTTCTCTCTCTCTCTCTCATCTAATCGTTTTATTATACTGGCAGACAACGGGGATTAAAAAGAACTCGTAAGGTCGAATTCTGACTCGTTCGGTGAACCTCTGACTGACTCACACCGGCAGATGCATTCTTATGCGATGCGAAACGATCGAAAGTATTATTCTTTGCTCTTAAATCGGAGATAAGGCGAGCTCGTCGTCTGGTCTCTCTCTCTCTCTCTCTTACACACACACACACATACTTCATATGAAACATCCTCGTCTTCGTCCATTAAAATTTCAAGCTGGAGGATGTAATTTGGTCGAGGAAAACAAAACTCCCGGCCGGGGACTTCAAATTCGCTTGGTCAAGTCGTCTTCTATCCTTTTCTCTTTCGTTTTAACAGGTCACTCAGAAAAAGATGGAAAAAAATATGAAAAAGAGAGAGAAATACACACACGCATACATACACACACACACACACATATTACTTACTTACGTACGAGATTGTCGTAGAAATTTCGCCCACACACGTGCCACTTTTTTCTCTTCTCTCCTCTTCACTCCTCTTCTTCTGTCCTCTTCTACGCACGTTCTCCTCTCCTTTCCTCTCTTCTCTTCTCTTCATCCTGGAAACCTTAGAAAATTGCTAACGCGCGAAAAATTCAAGGAGCAGCGGCATTGTCATGCGAATAACGAGAACGCGAACGCGAACGTGGTCGGAGAACGCGTATAAAGAAAAACTCATTGGAAAAATTCCGCGCATCAATAAGCGCGAGAGCACGATAATATAATAATATTGCGATAGATAAATAAACTATCGATAGATATATACGATCGTTTTCAATCGGAATTAAAACGATCGGAGAATATGTCTTGTCTTGGGCATTTTTTTTTCTTTTCTTTTCTTTTTCTTTTTAAAAGAGAAAGATAGAAGGTGATAGATAGAATGTGTGTGTGTGTGTGACAGAGACAAATTATTGGATTGGTCAACTAGCAATGTGTAGGAATGTTTATTAGTTTGTATAGAAATTTTAATAAGACTTTAAATAAGATTTTTTCTTTTTTTTTTAAAATGCGTTTACTATTTTATATCTAAATGAATGACAGTAGTTTTTTCCTCAACCCCCACTCGCCCCACCCCCGCTCCCCATTAATTTATAGAACTGTAATAGTACTCATTTGATAATCGTATATCAAAATACGATTTAATTTATCCGATTTCTACGCGCGTATGCATATTTATTAATTAGTATAAATATAATAATTTCTTATATGTTTCTTTTTTTTTTTTTGCCCGAATGCGTATCTGGAAATGTTTTCTAACAGATAATCAGAGAAATTGACGGCATATAGAAACTACGTGGAAAATCATAAAAATTAAACCAGTCGAACATTTAATTATTTAATATTGAAAGTTTTTGCTTGTGTAAAACGTATATATATATATACGCGTATAGATTAATAGTTGTTAAATGTTTTTCCATTTTTAGTTAAATTAACATAAATGACTCGGATTAACGATGGAATCGTATAAGTAGATTCGATAAAGATCAAAACGCATGGTCGATAATGGCATTGCATTAGATTACTTTATAATGTGTACGATTGCTTAAGTACCATTTATGTTGTCTCCCGGTTGATAATTGCTATCGTACGAGCTACGATTACAGTTAAGGGAGATGGAAAGAGGGTGAGGAGGAGAAGGAGGAGGAAGAGAAGAAAGGGAAGGGGATATTTAAGAATACCAATATAGGATACCTAATTCATTATTACAAGTTTTGCATTTGTGGTGTACTGTGTTTAGTGTATCGGAACTCTCTCAAACAGGCGCGTGCCGATTTTCTATCAAAGTATGTATATAAAAAAAAAAAGAAAAGAAGAAGGAAAAAAAAACGAAGAAACCAGAAAGAAAAAACAAATCGTACCGTTAATCGTTAGAATTACAACGTACGTCGACTAATCTTTTAACGAGGGGGGAGGAGAGGGAATATTCGATTATTACCTTCCATCTATTAAATGAATTATTCTCGTCTTTCTAGAAGAGTTTAATCTTTTCCTGTTTCTCTTTCTATACTTTTCATTAATTCGTTTTTTTTTCTTTTTCCTGGAATCTAAGTTTTTCTTTTCTTTCGTTTTATATGGTTTTTTTGCTGTTGTGTTGTGTTGTGTTGTTAGTTATTACGTAGGATATTTACATTTTTCTTTGGTTTTTGTTTAATTAAATTTTCTTTTTGTCCTGTTGGTACCTTATTTGATATTGTTATCGATTATAAGGTGGTGATTTCTATGTTAAAATATTTATTATATGTATACATATATGTATGATATATGGCTTGATTGATCGATCGATCGGTATAGGATCGGTTATTGGAAAATATTCTTGTCAGTACTCATGTTAGATAACCATAGAGTGTCGTCTTCTTACCACACGCAAATAACAACACGCATATATATATGTGTGTGTGCATGTTGAAAATACGCAAAGAAGTCTCTGAGGAACGCGCGAATCGCGGAGAATTCGTCTTAAATTCAAACCGTGCAATGCTTCTTCTTCAGAGAAGGAAGAGAAGAAGAAAGAGGAGGAGGTGGAGGTAGAGGAGGAGGAGGAGGAGGAGGAAAAAGAGAGGAGCCAACGATCTCGACTTTCACAAAATGGTTTGTTTCACTGGCGTAGGGAAAACGTTTCTTCCTGACGAGATCTTCCATACCTTCTCTCTCTTTCTCTCTCTCTCTCTCTTCCTCAAATTCTTTCTCTGACAAATTCTTTCTTTTATCTAACCATTTACCTCACAAATTCTTTCCTTATCTGAATTATTATCTTTACCCTTATTCCATTTTTAGTCCTACTCCTATCTTTTCCTTTTTAATTTTCCTCTCTTTTTTTGTTCTCTCACTGTTTCATTTTTTCATTAACTTTTCTTCCCCCATTCCTCTTACCTTCTTTCTTTCACCATAAATTTACCATTACTTTTTTCACTCTCTCTCTCTCTCTTTCTTTTTTCCTTCTTTTTATTATTTATTTTTCTTCCATTTAAACTTATTTTCCCATTTCTCTCCTCTTTTCTTTCTCTCCTAACGTTTAACATTTTAGATACGGCTGAATTCTGCGTGTGGCTATTTCCCTGGACGGCAGGGTCCGACGTGAACAACGTATAATTGATATAACACTGCAAAGCGTGGCGGGCAATTCCGTTCTGTGCACGAGAACATTCAAATGAAGTATTTGATGATTAAGTCATAATTTTTTAAAAATATATATATTTCACATACTTTAACTATAACATTCAACTTTAATAACTAATAATATAATTAAGTATGATAGATTTTGAAACATGGTACAATACATAAACCTACGTMACAATTTTCACATTGATAACGAGATCTTCGCCTTGTATCGTTTTTGGAACACACTATACAATTTCGTAAAGTTTTTCTAGAAAACCACGAAAAGCCACTATAGTGGCGCGTCGTTCAGAGAGATGACATACACGAAAGCCACTATAGTGGCGCGTCGTCCTGAAAAATGATATCCGCGAAAGCCACTATAGTGGCGCGTAGTATATAAAAGGTTAATCTAATTCCACTCGTTTATTCCCCCATTTTCTTGTTTTCTTTAATTTATTTTTCTCCACCCATCATTTCTTTCCATTTCTTCTCGTCTTTCTTTCACTCATAAAAGCTTATTCTTGGTTTTTTTTCTTTTCCCCCACTCATTAATTTCTTCTCTCTCTCTCTTTCTCTCTCTGACTATACTCTCTTATGGACACGTGCTCGTGTTTATGAGTTTCTTTTCCCTTCTTCTTCCTCCTCCTCCTCCTCTTCCTCTTCCTTCGTCGTCACCTAACTACGTCAGTAAGACCATGACTCTCACATCAGTATTGCGCTCGCGCGCATTATGGATAAAAAAGCACACAAACAGCAAGTGTGTATATATATGTACCAATACCAATAGCAACAGCAACATTAACAGTAACAACACAACAGAAACAGCAACTACACACACAACAGGACACGCTTCACCGGCCCTTCCCCCCCTTTTCTTCTTTGCCCCCTTTTTATTCTTTCTTTCCTTCTTTTTCTTCCTTTTTCTCCTCTTCTTTATCCTCTTTTGCACTGCGCTAAAACACTGATCTCCACGCTCCACCTTCCACGAGGATCGTTTTATTTCGCCGTGGATCGTGTTTGTGCGCACTCCTCATTTGCGCAAATACCTATATACATTAATCTTTATATATGTTACCGTCAAAGCCGGAAATCAGTCATTGCTAGTAATTCCTTGACATTACTATGAATGCAAAGAGCCTTCAGACGAAGTCAGAAATTAAAAAATTTTTCCAGTTTGTCCTAGGCATCGAACATAATACTTTGATATTCTATAGAATATCAAATTACCATTTAAACAACGTTGAAAAGAATACATTCTCGGGCACAGACACATACAGCCATACGCAACACATACACAATATTTTTTATACTAAAAGTGAATAGATTTT